TTATCTGATACGGAGAGAATGAAACAGCAATCCTTACATCGAAGGCAGCCTCCAGCTGCATTCATTCCCGGGTGCAGGGCTGGAGCTACGGTGGAACATCTCTGCATTCAACTAGGACACAGATCCAGCGAGAGGGCCAGGGAGAGTGTCTGGACACAGCAACAGGAAGAGGGAGGGATCGGCAACCCCGCAGCACCCACCACACCCCTGCCACACACCCGGGACCTTCCTGCAGGTTCTCAGTGGGGATCTGGCGGCCCGAGCCACTGGTTTGGCTGCCCAGCTGAGGAGACAAGAGGAGTAACTGGAAGTCCAAAGGATGATCCTGGTGGGATTAGAGGATTTTTCTGTGAATCTGCAGGACAAGCACGAGCTGCACTGCATGACCTGTGAGATTATTTGTCGAGAGCCCACAAACAGAGGCAGTGTTAGCACAGGACGTGGAAACAGACTCTTCCTACAAAACCCTTTGTCCCCGAGACGGGATGACTGCCACACTGACAGGTTCCTTCCCCGAAATGCTCTTGCTGTTCCTGCCCTTCAGATGGCTTTCCAGGCCTTCCTACCCAAGATGGTCCGAGTTATTTCCTTAGTAAATGGAGGCTTCCTTTTGACCAACATTGAGTGCCTACTAAGTGCGAGGCCCCTAGGAAGGGCCCGGAGGAAGGGCAAGTAGAGAGAAAGCCAGAATGATCCAAGGAGGGTGTGCCATGCGGCCACAGAGGGCACCCAACCCAGCCTGCCAGTCTGGAAGGGAAAGCCAGGAGGGCCTTCTGGAGGAAGCAGGTGAGCTCATTGACTGAAAAAGAGAGGAAGAGGAGGCGAGGGCTCCCAACTGGGGGAGACCTCTGAACTACCCAGCTCTTGCGAATGCCTCCCACACCCACATCCAGAGGGCTGCCCAGAAGCTTCTCAAAGCCGAGGGCGTGCGGCTAGGGGTAGAGGTGGGGAATCAGGATGGAGCCCTGGTCCCCATCCACCTCTAAGCAGAGCTTCACAGAGTGTACAATGTACACGGGTGCAAGCTCCACAAGTGTAAGGGCGAAACTGTGAAATGAAAGCTGAACTCCTGCACAGGGGTATTCACGGCTGCAGGCTGCTCACCGCCTCATTTCCTACCACTGCAGTTGGAGGACCATTTACCCCAGGGTCACTGAAAGAGCCTAAAGTGGGAGCTAGGGCTGGCAAGGGCAGGCAGGCCTTCAGTAAACCTTAGGTGGGGAAGCGAAATGCTAGGTCCACCGGAGACCCCTTCTAGGACCTGAAGTCTGTCATCTGTTCCATTTTGTCGTGCCAGTCAGACTCCCAGGATCTCCCTGATGGGCAGCCCAAATTGAGTCCAGGAAAAGCAGTTCATGCTCCACAATCAGTTACAGAAGGGTCTGGGTGGCCTTAAGGGGCAATGCTGCAGGGAAAGGTCTAGGGAGGCACACCAAGTACAGGACCCCACTCACTTGATTCTGCACAAGCAAGTCACCTGCCCAAGCCTCAGTTTTCTGAACTGAGAAATGATAAAATGTCTCCTATCTCAACCAAATGCAGTGATGTGCTGAAGTCACAAGGTACTTTAGCCACATAAAAGCTACTCACTGAGCACTATGCCTCCAAACCTTGGCCCAGGGGGTATAGGATATGTGGTCACTCCTTTTCTTTCCCTCTCCTCCATTATTCTGGAGTAGACATCTTCAACCCTCAGTGCCTTCAGTATGCCCTACCCTCAACCCAGCCCAGGTAGCTCTGAAACAGTGCAGTCATTCTTGGCCCATCAAAGACTTGGAAGTCTGCATTTCAGACAAGGCCCCCATTATATTTTTATGCAACCTGCAAAGCTTAGCTTTTTTGGAAGAATTTTGAGAAGTAAAACATGACTCCAGCATTTGCAGACATTTCCACTGGCCTAAGTTCAGGACAAAGGTCCCCAACACTGATTGCCAAGGAAATGCCTTGAGAATGTCCTTTGTGGGATTTACTGACAGCAGACACCTACATGGTACTCCCTCGTGCTGGGCGCTATTCTCAGCTCTTCACATGGATTAACTCAATATTTACAGTAAGGCAGTGTCGTTTATTCCCATTTTTTAGGAGGGTAAACTGAGGCACAGAGCTCTTGATCACAATGCTGTACTCTTCATTCCAGCCTTTCTCCAGTTACCCCAGCATACTGTCATGAAAAAGAACAAAGGTTTTAAGGCCTGGCTCTCCCACTTTCAGCCATGTTGCTACAGACAAGGCCCCTCCCTCGGTCTCAGTTTCCTCACCCATTCAATGGGGCCAAACAGTCCAGGCAGAGCTCTCGCACGCATGCGTGTGAGGGGACACAGCAGCTGATCTGGAAAGAGAGCTGGTCCTATCTTTCCCTGCCTGAGCCAGGCCCCCTCCCTGTTAGAATCTTAAATGCTGAGTCATCAGCCTGGCTTCCTGTCTGAGGCACAGGGCCTTTGAGTCACGCCTTGGATGGGATTCTCTAGAGTTGGGTCCCAAGGAAGAACAGCTTCAGGCCACCAGAAAAACACAGTGCAATCTTTCTTGCCCATCTTTGCTAAACTGAGCTCAGGCCAGGAGGTGTCAGTGTGCCCTGGGGGCCCTCAGCTCTGCTCAGATCCGTGATCCAGCCTGGAGGTGGCCATCTGAATCCAGCCAACCACCACTCAGTGGGGCGAGAGCCCCTTCTCTCAGGACTGATGCTACGAATCTCTCAGGAACACCTGATTGACGCTAAAATAGAGAAATAAAAACCCACCCACATTCTGTCAGGAAAGTTTCCTCACCAGAAACTCAATGAAGATCTACTTTACTTTTGCCCCTGATAGCAGAGGGGCCTGGGGTGCAGAGTTCCAGTTCTAGCTCTGCGTTGGCAAGTCATCCTCTGTCTCTGAGCCTCAATTTCCATCTGTAAAATGGTGAGAAGTTGAACCAGAAACTTGGGTGAGATTTCAATTCCATTCCAAATTATGAAGCCAATGGTTAGGAGTCCTTTCTCTGCTGGTGGCTCCAGGAGAACTCCCTCAGCACAGGCAATCCCAAAAGATGCTCCAAGTCTCCCTGGAAAGCCAAGTCAAAGGCCACCACCCAATGGTCAGCTGCCGCCTTGAGATCAACTGCCTCCTTGGGACTTGACCGTGGTGATTGATTATAGGGGAATGAGGCAGGATGAGCCATTCACTTCATTCAGTGAATGTATGTGAACTCCTCCCAAGTGCCAGGCCCTGGGCCAGGTGCCAGGTGCCGAGTTACAGGGCCAGGCAGGCCAACCCTTCCTTCTCACCCTCCAGGGGAAGGCAGGAGCCCACAAAGCCTAGAAGTCACAGGCCAGGGGACATGCCAGGTTTCTGACCTGACACCAGAGCACCGCCCCTTGGAGGTTTCCATTCACTTTCTGATGCCCTCCACCTTCCCCTGACCCACTGACCTCAGCCCTTTGCCACCCCAGCACGTATCCCTGCAGGACTGCCGTCTGTGCCTGGACCTGCATACCCCACCAGCTGGTGAGCCCCATGAAGGCAGGGGCTGGGGCTAGCACACTCTGTACCTTGCTTATTTCAACTCTCATTTGTGAAACTCAGTGAAGACTCCAGAATATCTCCAACAGGACCAGGCGGGGCTGCAAGTCTGCCCTGAAATTGCACCTTCACAGCAAGAACACAGTTTGTATTTAGATGCTTTGTTCTTTGAGGAGGCTTGGGAGAAGATAAAGTATAGCTGATGGGCAATATGAGGAGACTAACGCCACATGTGTGGCCCCTGTCTGAACTCTGAATCTTCAATCTTTCCTAGTAACTTAAGGAAACCAAATAAACTGAAGTGCCCAGGGCATCTGTGAAGAAGGGTCCGGTCATGGGCACAAGATAACTGGGCACAATAATCCCCCACCGGCTGCCAGGCACCTCCCCTTTCCAAGACACAGAGGGGTATTTGGACCCACAGGGACATCTGACAGCAGAGACAACAGACAGGAGAGGGGTTGTGGAGGTAAGGAAAAATCCACCAAATCCCAGCTTCAGCCACTAATTGGACAGAGGCGGTGACAGAGCGTTCCCCCCAAGCCCACCACATTCCCCACGCCCTGTGCGAGGCTGAATCAGAGGCCGCAACGGGTCTCCCAGGAACGTCCGAGCAATTCCAGCTGTTCTCCCCGCTGCAGGGCAGGGAAGGCGGGCGGGCCGGAGGCAGGGGAGAGAGGGGAAGCGGGGGAGGGTGGGCGGAGGAGAAAATGACGCCACTCTCGGCACTAGCCAGCGCAGGGCCGCCAGAAGCCCACGCGACCCCTCCGGCCACCTCTTCCGCGTCGCCACAGCGCCCACCCGGGGCCCCCGACTCGGGGACGCACCCTGCCCAGCGGCGTCGCGGACACTCGCTCCCGCGCGTGTCACACGGGCTTGGACACACCTCGGACCCTCCCCTCCCACACACACCCCACCCCACCCCACCCCACCACGGCTTTGAGGGGGCATGAGCACCCGCCCCTCAGATGCGTCCAGGTTCTGGGCTCAGTCAGGAAACCAGACACACCCACGCCCCTTCTCCAACCTCACCTAGCGCCGCTCACTCCTACCCAACCCCTTTACTACACACACGCGCTCAACCCCTCCTTCCCCAGACACCCCACCACGCACACACACAACAGGCACACACGCACACTCCTAGTCCCCCTCCTGCTCTCGCGGGCAGAGCGCTGCGGCCCCGCGACTCCAGCTGTGGCTCTGGGAGGGCTCTGGGCGATCAAGATGCTCCCAGGTGGGCTCTGCACCCGCTCTCCGACCCCCAGGATCCCACTTCCCCAGCCACGAGAAAGGTGAGCGGGGACCCATCTTTCCCCCCCGCTCTTCCCCAATCGAAAACCCTCACTCCAGCGGTGCCCCTGCCCCATAGCCCCTCCTCGTGCTTGCGCCACGGAGTCGCCACGCATTTGCAGCTCCGGGTGGCCACAAAGGGCTGCCCAGGAGCTGCTGCCGCACGCACGGGCAGCCCACCCCTCTGCAGGAAGAAGGCGTCGGGCTTACCTCAGATAGAGGGGGCAAGGCGAAAGGAAGCGGAGCTCGGCTGGCGGCGCCCGGCGGGGGTGGCTGCGAGCAGCAAGGGCTGGAGGACGCTCCGCGGGGAGAGCGGGAGCCAGGCGAGGTTTGTTTATGCCCGGAGGAGGGCGGCTTTATAGACGCCCCGGCCCCGCCCCCGCGCCTCGCCCCGCCCCAGCCTCCCGGGCTCTGCCCGCCGCCGAGACACACCCCTCGCCGCGCCTTCCCCCCGCTGTCCTCCCGCTCTCGCCCGCGCGCCTGACCCGGCCGGGGCTGAGCGCAGCAGGCACCCGCCGGAGCCGCCGCCTGTTGCGCAAGCCTTTGTAGGGGCGCGGCGGGAAGGGGCTCGGGGCTCGGGCTGCAGCACTGCTCTGCGGTCCTCTCCCTCGCCGAGAAGCCCGGGGCCTCGCGTGTGCAGGGCGGTGTGCACCGGGGGCGCGTTGGTGGGCGTGGGCGTGTGCATGTGCGCGCTCGTACGTGTGCCTGTGGACTTCTGGGTGTCTCTGAGTGACCGAGTGGCTCTCATCTCCGTCTAGTTTCTTCTTCCTAGCATCCCTTATGGGCGACTCCCCGACTTCCTCCAAGCCTCAGTGTCCTCGCGCAGGAGCCGCATTTGGCTGCCTCCTTTCCTTGCCTGAGACCAGTTTCCTGAGATCCTCACTCTAGCCGTTTTTCCTTGTTGCATCAGCTCTCCGCTGAAATCCTCGCTCCTACTGAATGTCGTGCGTCTTGCTCACCGCATGCTGACGCCTGGGCGCCTCCCCTTGCCCTCTACCTCGTCCAGCCCTGTACTTCTTCCCTACCCTAGAAGCCCTGGCTGGGAGGATTCCCCCCACTTCCTCTCCCGGTCCACAGAGCTTGTGCTGACGCCCTTTCCCACCCTTACCCATCCTTCTCTGCTGGCTTGTTTTTGTTTACAGATTGCCTCCCTGTTCTGAACCCACACTACATATTAGAACCCCAGGCAAAACTTTTTAAAAAAGGGTTAGGCCAGGACCACACCCCAGGCCAGTTTAATCAGAACTTCAGGGAGTGCACAGCAGGCACCGAGTGTTTTAAAAGACATTAGAACAAGGCGTTCTAATGCACAGCCCAGGTAAGAACCACTGCACTGAAGGAACATTTGCTTGAGTAAAGAGATACCCTGTCATTGTCACCAGCCCCCCTGTCCGAATCTCTCTCTTCTGGCTGATTATAAACCTTTCTGAGCACCAGCACGTGCTTTGCGAAGGCAGGGTACCTGGCTCTTCCCTTTGCAGCCCATTTGCTTTCCTAGGCCCTGACATTTACTTATTCTGTCATTCCGCAAATATTTATTGAGTCAGTGCAATGAGCCAGGTCTGGTGCTCAGCCCCTGGGAGAAGGACAGAAAAGGCAAAGTCCTATATCCCTCGGGAGCATAGCAGAGGAGCCCTGAGTCTGTTTCCCCATCCACACAAGAAGGTTAAGCTGAGCTCATTCATTGCGTAACTGGATCAAGGCTGTGGACACTGGGGATAAGATTATGAACAAAAGTTTACCTCCTCCAAAGCTAGCCTATTGTCTGAAGATGCTCCCAGATCTAGAATTCTGTATGACAGCCCTCTTTTGTCCCAGCCATATCATCCATTTTCCCTGACCTCCTCTGTTTTGTCTTTCAGCAAACATTTATTGAGCACCTCTGGTTTGCTACCTGCCAAAGATAGAATTGAGCTGGAAAGTGTGGAGGAGCTTCCTATTCATCAGTAACAAATGGAAGCCCCAGTGCCGTGGCCGCAGAAGGCATTTTGCCAGGTGAGGCCATCTGCCCGGTTGAGGAAGTCTTTGGGGCAGAGTGAATATTGCAACGGAGACCTGCAGCCAGAGGCCCTGAAGCTGCCCGCTGAGAGGCTGGGTCTGTGCCTAAGAACCCCAACTCTCCAGAAGAAAATAATCAGAGACCAAATTAAGCAATGAGGGTCACGAAGGTGACAGAGGCACAGAAAAGTGGGAAAAACTAAAACAGTGCAGTAGGATTTTCTGAGAGCGGTGGCATTCTACAACCAGAGTGAAAGACAACAGCTTCAGAGTCCAAATCAGCTTGGGAAAGTTCTGAGGAAGGTGCCATTTGGACCCCACACTCCCTCTCTCCTGTGTCCAGCACTCCCAGTTGTTCCTCCAGGGTTGCAGTGGATTGTTTCTTCCACTGAGCTCCAGATGAAGCAGGTTTCTTGCAGCCAAGGTGGCCGCTCTGTAGCGAAGCCTGACTTGTGCTTCTTGGAGGCACACTCAGTAGCAGATGCTTATGCTATGGAGCATATGCCCAGGCCTCCGTGTCCCCAGCCCAGGCCAGCTGAGCCAGCAGAAACCCTGGGAGCCAAACGTGGGTGCAATTGCATGGAGCTGTTTAAATCACCTCCCCTTTCTCACTGGTCAGCAACAGCATTGGATTTGCTTAGTAAACGCTCATGTGCTGTAAATCCATCTCAGGATGAGATTGGATATTCTGGACCAATGTTCCTGGAAATTTCTATTTAGCAACACCTTAAATTTTAACAAGAGAATATTCTAACTGAAAGGGTGAAAGGGATCATCTGTTCCCATCTCTCTTTCTTAGAATTTATTGGTACTCAGGGTTGAGAGAGACATAAGAGAAAGCTGGAGGTCAGAGGAACAGCACCTGATTTCAACACTTCCAGGAGGTGGTGTCTTGGGCAGTTACTCTACCTGCACACAGAATAAATGAGCAAGAGGAGCCACAGACCTTTTGACTACAATTCATGAGCCCACTGCTACAGTCCCATATTCTTTTCCCTCATGGTAAGATGATAAAGTGACCCTGGAAACCCAGCATCTCCCAGCTCCAGGGCTGGGCCTCTCTCCATCCCCAGAATCTAAATGACCCTCTCTCTGGATCATTCTAATCAACAAGTACACATTCATTGCAATCAGTGGCCCACCCTAATCAATCCTCTCTTATCCCAAGTTCCCCTCTCATTACTGCAGTCCTTTGTCCCCCAACTTCTTGAAACAGATGTCTGTATACACAATCTCCACCTCCTTATCTCCCCTTGCTTTTACTTTTTAGTGTTTAATGTCTCAGGTTCCTCATGGCCCTGGCTGAATAATTCTACAAAGCTTGTTAGGAAAAATAATAGCCTTTGCCTGCCCCGCACTTCTGTCTTACCCGCTTCAGAAGCCACAACTGTCATCACTTGTATTTCTTCTCTGCTGCTCATCAGCTCTGTATCCCTTGGAGAATTCTGTCATTTGCTGCCTCAGCCTCCTTATCTAGAAGATACACATAATCATAGAGTTAACATCTAGGGTTGTTGTGAGAAATATATGAGTTAATACATGTAAAGTGCCTAAAAAAGTGCCTGGCACAGAAAAATCTCATGATGAAATGTTAGCTGCCATCAACATCACTATCGCCATCACCACCACCACCATCATCGCCACCATCATCACCATTACCACTACCATCACCACCACCATCCCCATCACCACCATCCCCATCACCAGCATCACCACCACCATCCCCATCACCAGCATCACCACCACCATCCCCATCACCACCATCACCACCACCACCACCATCACCATCACCGTCATTTTAATCTAGTCCCATCTCTCCTGGCATAGTACCTGACTCAGACAGAAATCCAGTAACTATTGGTTGAATAAATGAGTGAATATAAGTGTTTCTCTCTGAAATCTCCCTATTGTATGCAGCCTTGCTTGGCCTCTGTTGGGAGGGAAGGAGACCTCTCTCCTTGCTTCAGGAGCCCAGCAGAAGGCCCTCCATCTGTGAACCAATGGAAATTCTCCCAGTCCTCTAAGAGCATGCCTGCCTGGTAATGTCCAGTTGTGAGCAACGGGAAAAACTGCAAGAGAAAACAATACCAAATGAGGCTAGATGTTAGCCTGTGTTCAGGGCATGTAATGATCCTTTTCTTTGAACATAAATGGAAAGGCACACAACGATAGGCCCATAGAAAACCGTTTTGTTTCCCTCCTGGTTTGTAATCACTTGCCAGAGCTGCCACAACATATACTGCAAACTGGGTGGTTCAAAACAACACAATTGTGTCGCCTGACAGTTCTGGAGGCTGGAAGCTCAAAATCAAGGTGTCAGCAGAGCTGTGCTCCCTCTGAAGGCTCAAGGGAGGACTCCTTTCTTGCCCTTTCCCAGCGTCTAGCTGCTGCTGGCAGTCCTTGGTGCCTTTGGCTGGTAGTTGCATTACTCTGATCTCTGTCTCTGTCTTCACAGGGTCATCTCCCTGTGTGTCTCTGTGTCTTTTCTTATACAAATGACAGTCATTGAATCCAGGGCCCACCCTATGCCAGTATGACCTTGTCTTACCCTAACTAATTACATCTGCAAAGAGGTCAGATCCACAGAAAGCCACATCCTCACTTTCTGGATGGACATGAATTTTGTGGGAGAACAGGATTCAACCCCTTCTGTGGTTATAATACGTATGTAACAAACATTTGTAGCATATTTGCCGAGACCTACTTGCTGGCTTTCTCGGGCAGCCCTGATGCTGCCGCTCTCGGATGATGCCGCAGCAGTTCTTGCCCTGCTCCCCACCTACCCTCTCCAGTCCCCTCATCCCATGCTTACCTGTCATCTTGAACAACCTGAATAAATGATAGGTCCTGCCTAATTAAAACTGCTACCGTCTGCCATGTCCACCACCCCCTCCCCAGTGTGCCAATGGAAATGCCCCTCCGCACACCCACACTTTTCTCTCCCTTCACCCATCACTGGGTTCCTCACCGCTTTCCCCTGAATCTGTCTGTCAGGTCATCACCTCTGAGCCTTTTGCACACATTGGTTTTTCCTATAAGGTCCTCCCACACCCCCTTCACCTATGGAGATTTTGCACCAGGAGTGCTCAGCACCCATTTCAATTTTCCTACTTCCCACCCCACCTCCTTCCCTGAAGTTACGTGTCAGTGAGAGTGGAAGTGACCTGCGTCCCTTCTGGGTGGGAACTCTCATAGCTGGCCTGTGATTTGTCTGGCTCTCCCTGGGCTCTTCTACTGGAGCCACAGCTGCTACAACACTCCAGATGGCAGAGGCTCCATCCACTGGGCCGTGGAGTGGGGAGACGCAGAGCAGCACCCCCACCCCAGCTGACTCAGAATGAACATGGGGCAGGGGAAGAAATAAACCCTGT